TAAGTTTCTAGGTTCACAGTTGAATTAATACAGTTATACGATATTGAACTCAGTATAAGCCCTGTAAGATATAAAATTGAATGAGTTTTTAACCTTTAAAAAAGATCTCCATTTTGTTTTAGAATATATTGTTCCTTGCAGAAAGACACATTGTTTTTGCTATTAACACTGAGATGTTGGCATATGCATCTCTAATCTGTATGTATCTGGTTATTACTAGTTATAATTGGTTGCACTTAGATCCTTGGCGCCTGTGTATGTCTATAAAGTCATCGGGTAGATTTCAGTGGTAATGTTTATCACCTCTTTTAATTAGCATGACATAAATTTCCATGCTTCCTCCTTAAATATAATACATATTTTTAATTTGTTGACTTTCTTTATGTGTGTGTGTATATCACACAGAACATCCCAAACCATCTTATTCAACTATACACCCACTTCCCAAATGGCACCCTCCCATAGCTTCCCTGCCCCCACTAGAGCCCTTATACTGATATCCCTGCTGCTGTCTGCTGTGTTGTCGTCATCCCCAGCCATTCCCCACTACTTGTCTATCTGGTGAATCTAGTCAGCCTATCTAGAGGTCTTTGTATTAGGAAGATCAGCTGTTCCTCATCTAGCAAAAATCAGTTGTCAATATTACTTTAGATAAAATTGGGGTCTGCTGTTCATTTTCCCAGTTCTATGCTGGGTTACTATCTGGGAGGCCATTTGACCACCCTGGCCAACAACTCAAAAGAAGGTATCTCCTATCTGGCATTTTCACTTGTTATGTAGCCTTTAGCTGTGCATATGGACTCTTATGAAATTATGTTGGCCCCTTTAATCTTTGGCTATACTTTCCTTTTGGATGTTTAAAACCATACAGTTGGCCCTGATAAACCAATTTATTTTTACTCTTAAGGCCATTTTAGGATCTGTTCCTCAGGGATCACATGGCTAGGGAGGAGCCCCTGGATCCTTTCTTTTACCAGTTCCATTATGTGAAGATAAGTCAAAGGTCCTGATCGACCATGGCTGCCTTCACTTGGAAGCATGGACGAAATGTTTCCTTATGTTGACCCTTCTCTTTGTAAACTGAACACTGGTTCAAGTCCATTTGATGGGGTCTCTCCTCGGCCTCCTTGATCAAGAGGACAGGTGACCCACCACAATTACAAGACTTTTTGAGAGGTGTTCATAGTCCCCTGGAACTAGTCGACCTAGGAGGGCAAGGAGCAAAAACTGTCCTTTATGTCCCTCTGACCAAATTAGTATGGGCCTCAAAGTATGGCTGTTAAACATCCAAGAAAGTTAGTTCCACCAGTCTGGTACTTTTAATTACTGTGTGTCATGTAGATAAATCTTGGGCAAAGACCAAATGTTCTCAGATAAATCTTACATAGACATTCATTTCTTGATCTGCTATGTATAATTTGCCAGTAGGTTGTAGGAGTAATATGGTTCCCTCTGGTTTTCAAAACTAGCTAGGCATTATTTATCTCTCATTGTCTAACCCTCCACCATGGTTTCCCATTTTTCCCATTTCTTCCTTAATAATACCCTTCTCCTATGGTCTCTCCTCTCTTGAGCTGTTTCTTTCCCTTTATCCCCAAGATTCCTTGTATAACCCTCCCTCCTCCCTCCCGTTAAAATAACCCAATTTTTATCCATATCTCCCTATCTGTAGTTATGTGTGGATACATACTCATTTATCAGGGTTTGGTTCTAGGATCCACATATGAGGGAGAACATATGTCTATTTTTTTTTCTGAGTCTGTGTTACTTCACTTAGTATAACTTAGTATCACTTAGCTCCATCCATTTACCTGCAAATTTCATGATTTCATCTTTCTTTACTGCTGAGTAAAACTCCATCATATAAATGAACCACATTTCCATTATCCACTCATCAATTGAGGGACACCTAGGTTGCTTCCATCTCTTAGCTATTGTGAAAAGAGCAGCAACAAACATGGATGTACAAGTGTCTCTGCAATAGGATGAGTTCTTTGGGTATATGCCAAGGAGTGGTATCACTGGGTCAAATGGTAGGTTCATTTGTAGTTTTTAAAGAGTTCTCCACACTGCTTTCCATAGGGGGATGAACAAGTTTGCAACCCCACAGCAGTGGATGAGTGTTCCCCTTTCC